AGCAGGCGGTGCCGCGGGCAGAGCGGCGGCAGCAGCAGCAGGCGGTGCCGCGGGCAGAGCGGCGGCAGTAGCGGCTGTTGCTGCAGGCCAGTTCGGAGCCGGCGGTGCCGCTGGCAAAGCGGCGGCAGCTGCGGCAGGTCGTGCCGCGGGCAGAGCAGCAACGGCAGCAGCAGCAGCAGGGACCACAGGCAGGGCAGGCGGGTCAGCAAGAACAGGCGGGTCAGCAAGAACAGGCGGGTCAGGCGTAGCCGCTGGCAGAGCGGCAGAAGCTGCAGCAGGCGGTGCCGCGGGCAGATCGGCGGCGGCAGCAGGCAGCGTAGCCGCGGGCTGCGCGGCGGCATCAGCCGGCAGCGGTGCCGCGGGCAGATCGGCGGCGGCAGCCGGCAGGCGGTGCAGATCGGCGGCGGCAGCAGCAGGCGGTGCCGCGGGCAGAGCGGCGGCAGTAGCGGCTGTTGCTGCAGGCCAGTTCGGAGCCGGCGGTGCCGCTGGCAAAGCGGCGGCAGCTGCGGCAGGTCGTGCCGCGGGCAGAGCAGCAACGGCAGCAGCAGCAGCAGGGACCACAGGCAGGGCAGGCGGGTCAGCAAGAACAGGCGGGTCAGCAAGAACAGGCGGGTCAGGCGTAGCCGCTGGCAGAGCGGCAGAAGCTGCAGCAGGCGGTGCCGCGGGCAGATCGGCGGCGGCAGCAGGCAGCGTAGCCGCGGGCTGAGCGGCGGCATCAGCCGGCAGCGGTGCCGCGGGCAGATCGGCGGCGGCAGCCGGCAGGCGGTGCAGATCGGCGGCGGCAGCAGCAGGCGGTGCCGCGGGCAGAGCGGCGGCAGTAACAGCTGGTGCTGCTGGCAGGTCCGGAACAGGCAGGTCCGGAACCGGTGCCAGGATCGGCGCCGGGCGTGCATGCGCTGCCCCTTTAAGGGCCTCGGGGATCCGGGGAATAGCGTCCCAGACGGCCCGGGCCCCTTTAAGGGCTAGCCGCGTACCCTCGAAGGGGGCAGCTGCCCGCGAAGGTTCCTTCGCGGTGGCTGTGATGTCCTCCGGGGTGACGGAAAGAGGAGCCGGAGAGAAAGAGCATGCCCTCAGGTAGATCACCGGTTGGGCTTCCGGGGACCTCTCCTTACGTCTCTTCTTCTTTCTCCGGCCATGGCAGGGTTGAGGTAGGGCTGTCGCGGAGACGGTGAGGGGCGGGAGCCGCCTCTCCGTTATCCTCTCATACACCTGCCGTAAATTATCGCGGACGTCTGCGATGACGTGTGCTTCCGTAAGCGGGGTGATCTCCTCCAGAAG